AGGTTTTTTCGAAAATGCCTCTAGAATCTAGACAGCCAACAGTTAATGGCCACTGCCATGTCTGAACCAGCACTAACTTTTTTCGCTTGTATATTTTCAAAAGCACTGATAGCTAGTGACAAGTCAAAGTTCCTCGAACACACTCCTGGCCAGTCGGAGACGATACAAAAATAAAATATAGTTTTTTCCCCTCAGGTTCGTCAGAGATTAGGACTGCTTCGTGCTAATTTCAGCATTAAAAAAAAAGGAGGGCACTGAGGGTACATGAGGACCTGTATAGACAATATGTTTTATTACATTTATAATAACTCCTGTAGGTGATATAATTTAATCATAATTCTCCATTTCTACATAAGTAGCACCAATCGTTACAAATACTTTTCATTGGAACTTATTTTCCAGATAAAATCTGATTTAGAAATCGAGAAAGAACTATAGATGTCTCGACGTAAATAATTAAGATTAAATTTTACAATTAAAATACTTTTTCTACAGTCTTCGTTACTTTAATAAAAATAATATTTCCACATTACCGTTATGGGATAGAAGTGCAAAAACGTACCGAGGAATTGTCACAAATTCTGAACTAGTATTTGGGTTATCATTTTGTTTGAAGTATCTAGGCAATTTTAGGCGACATGGAATTTTTTTAATCTACACCGTCAATTTTAGTTTACAAATTCTCTCAAATAACAGAACTGTTCAAAAGCTCTGCCGGCTAATACTTAAGGGAATGTACGAGGCATTCGTTCTTAATTGAATGAAATTTGTTGTCAACCCATCAATTATAGGTTTTCATTAGTCGTTTGCCAGGTGTACGATGTCTGGGGCGTGAACGGTACACAGTATATAAAATGGCAATGTATTGGGCGAGCTTAGTGAATATTGTGAGAAACGAAGAGCGATATTTACAGTGATATCGTCAACAAAGACATGTCAAAGACATGTGTTTATTGTCAATTAGGCGTTGGACAACTCAAAAGGTTTGTATATTAATGGCGTAGGTCGAAGACTTTTTATAAACGTCAAGAAGCGTAGCGAAGCGACAGGTGATACATAAAAGAGTTGAGCCAAAATTACTTTGGGATAAAACGCGTGTGACATACTCAAGGTTATTTTTTGTGGACCTGGAACCTCGTCAATAAATTGGACACGCGTAGCAAAGCGCCTAATTGCTTTACAAGTTTGACGCCATAAATACGACATTCCACTCGCGGGTATTCGTTGCACGCACTTGTAAAAATTCACTAGTTATGTTGGCTTAATGAAACTATACTTCACTTTTGCAATACATGAGGTTGGTACTGTGACACAGGACGACCACAAATGGCTCCCATTCCCAGTAAGTAAACTAACACCGCTTTGCCCTCTAGACCGACATTCTTCTCATGAAGATATTTTATTCAGGTTTCCACTTTATCCCAAAACAAACGTTTAGTGAGCAGGAGAAAAGAGAGACACAACAAAGAAACCTGAGTTAGTAGATCCACGGGGTTTCCTATTTAATCAAAAGTTCTGCCCATTTAATTAACTTCACCGAGAACAGAAATAACTTACAACTTACTTTAAATTAGACATAGATACATTGTTCGTTTTGAAAGAAAAAAATGCCGGGGCTCCAATTAACTAGTGGCCTGGGGCAAGTTGCCCCTTTCTGAACACCCAGTCCGTGAGCCACGTGTAAATAAAAAAATATGAAGTTAGATTTTTTGTTTTAAAGACGACTGCCAAAAAGAACTCGGACAAAAGAAACAGACCTATAGAGCGGACACGTTTGGGAGAAAGAGTGAATGGTCAGTCAGGCTATTTCGGCTCTGGCCGAGAGCACTGCCTACCCAGAAAATATAAAAGCTATTTGGGAGTGAGGAGTGCTCAGTGTAACTGGCCATTTAAGTGCAAAAGGTTAAGACAGAGCTTACAATGACTATTCCACTCGTGAAATTTAAACCAATTGGGACTATATCAACCAATAAGAGCTGGCTTACCCAAGCAAGATTTGGGGCCATATCAATCTATAAGAGATGTCTTACCCAAGTAAGCATGAAAGTGATCATTTTTTATTCCATACTAGGTAGCATTTTTCGACACTGTCATGTATTGACATTGTTAAATAATTAGTCAGAAATTATCACAACTACATATGCATACATTAAAAATAATGTTTATAAATTAAGATTGTTTCACTGTTCACATTTTCATGTATAACTCAGTTATGAAAAGTTTGTAATGCTGAGTTTCATAAAAGTTGTCCTCAATTGCACATAGCAATTATGGTGCAAATGATTGATGGCTGATGGTAATTGTGTGGCATGGAATTAAAGTAACAATATTGATGAATTTTTCATGAAGCCATATCTTGAGGTATAAAGCTTTCCAGAATTTATTTTATGTTCACTTATAAAACATACAGAACTCAAAGTTCTAAAATTGTAAGGCATAATTGAATTTTCTGACACTATTGCTAAATGATATTTACATCCCAAACAGATCCTTCCCACATTTATAAAATGCATTTAAAATGGATAGAGAATGAAAGTGGTCACAACATTCGATACCTGAAGACAAGCTGCAATTTACAACTTCTCATTTTGACAACACAGATAACTGGGTTTATTTTTTTGAGTCAACTCTCTAAAACTCATTCTCAATGCCACAAGCTAGGTGATCTTGCCACATTCGTCTAAATAACAGAGGAGCAGAAGTGGCATATTAGAAAATATGACAAAACACACTCATCTCTCTCTTGGACATTACCAGCATTGATTCTGTGAAATAACAGGGTCAGCATCACTCCCAGTTTGTCAATGGTCTGTACAACAATAAGCTGGTAAGAAATTAAGATAAAATAAAAATGGGCTAATGTTTTGAATTAAAAACTTTTTATCCCCATTATGAAACTTACCAGAGTGCCCTTTCCTTTCAAATACAACAGCACCCCTATTCTTACAAGTGAATGGTGCAATCTGGAAATATTGGTTTGGGATCAGTCTTTGAAGGGTCAGTGTTCCATTAAAGAGTCAATGAGATAAAATACAATATCAAACTCCATCTGATTGCAAAAAACTTGCTAGTTATCTATTCTGTCAAATTGCAGTTAGTAGTGCACTTCGTTCATAAGAACAAGGTTGTAAGTTTGGATTTTGTTCATGCATTTTCCCTCTTATTTAAATTTTAACTTCTTTTAAGGATTGTAAAGTGCTACGTTTGGAATGTTTTGCTCTATGGGTCAGAAACTTGAATGCCATGGTAAGCAATGAAAGATTTCTTCAAAACACATTAAGTTTAATGCGTTAAAATGTGCAAAATTTAAAAGAAGGAACGTGTAGAATGTATTAAAAACTACACGATTTCATATCAAACTCAATGTTTTCCATCAGTGGACAAAGCGGTTAGATCAGTTGCTCCTCAATTATAAATACGTTTAAATATTTGAAAACAATATATAAGAAAGAATAACAGGCAAAAGCTCGTCCACGTCGTGAGAGTGATGAAGGCGGCAAGCCGCGGCGCCTTTCTGAAATCAGGCAGAGGTGAGCGTCGCGCCCCTTGTCGGCTACACAGTGATGGTTCGAACAGCCAACTTAGTACTCGGCACGTCCCGAGATCCTTCCGGTGCACGGAAAGACGGATAAAATTTTGGCCCACTGCTTCTGTACTGTAAAGGTGTCAGTAGTACCCTGTCCAGCGTTTGTGAAAAAACGTTTGTTATATTAATAATACGAACTTTATATTAATATTGAAAAATGCTTTAATTTCTTGTTCATTACGTTAAATCCATTTTAATCTTGACCCCTGCAAACGGTAGTTTTCACGTTATAATAGTTAAAATTTCGATAAATTCAGAATGATTTATTTATTACGGTCACTATCAACTTTCCCAAAGAGGGAAAACTTAATCTTACCTTGTTTACTTGCATTGAAAATCTATTCGTCAGGTTTTAAAATCCACACATTTCTCCACTGAAGTTGTATGTTTCATGCACAAATTGCTTCTTTATTAACAGTACAGTGAAAGCGCACAATTGCAGTTGTCATTGCATATCCAGACAAATTTTAATCAGCTTCATTGTTGTGAACGAGCGTTCGGTTACTGGCATTATATTAATGAGAATAAAACGTAGTTTGCATACTTCTGGAAAAATATCTTTACATTCCATTTTATAGCATAACTTGCAATAAAGATTGCATTTCTAAATTCACTTTTCTCGCACAGTACTTTCAACTTATTTTGCTGATTTCACATCCGTTTCACTTTGCAGAACCAGTTGATCAGGACAAAGTTTGTTTTTTTAAATTTTATTTCAAGCGTATGTTTGGAGCTGAATCTTTTCCAACAAGATTAACAACTTAGTTAATTTTTGTGAGGTAAATGAACACCAGATGACATACACTACAACTATAGGATTATTGGAACATCAATCATAAAACAGACGTTCTAACACTGATTTTAAGACAGCTTTCACCCTCTCCATTGGATTGCAAAACTCGCGTTTAGGAGTTTCGTATCGAGAACATTTGCTGTCTGTGCGCCGAAGTTGAAGGACATTAGTCCAGTCAGTGTAGTGCGTGTTTTATCGTAGGAGGTTGCGGTGATCTTCCCCCGCTAGATGGTGAGATCCGGCGCCAACCTACCTGTCGGCTTGCGAGGCTTTCCCCAATCCGGTATCTTCCACCAGCGGGGAACTGTCTCAAACAGGATAATCTCTAAGCTTCCGACCGGTCTCTCGGCGTTGTGGCGGTGAAATGTATGTAAGTGTGTGTGTGTGTGTGTGTGTGTAAATAAGGAGTGAGGATAAGACAAGGAAGCGGAATGAAAGATCGCGCGCGTTCCGTGGCCCGTTTGTAAGGGTACTGTTCCGGTATTCGACCGGTGTTGATCGGAGTAACCACGGAAAACTACCGATTAGAGCAGGCAGCCGCTAGATTACCCCTCCAGACAGGGGCTGAATTGAGACTCGAACCCCACGACACCGGTCACTACAGTGACATCAATTGCTGCTCTGAGCCACCTATCTTTTGGCCGAACCTAGGTACACTGGTCGGCGGCGCCACTGGATGAAAAACGCAGGAATGCGTATTGCAGAAGCAAAAATATCATTAAATTTGCCAACATTGGAGCACTCATCAACAAAGTAGTTTATTAAGGTTTAAATAACCACATAGGAAGTTTACAAAAAACAGGAGGGGGCGACGCCCGTGAGCTTATAGGCATGGACCGCACCTGACTTAATAGACGTAACTGAAGGTTATTTGTGGGAAAGAGGGAGAGGATGAAAGTTTCAAAATGCTGGACAGTTATGCAGAAAAGATTGCTATGAAAGAATGAAAGGGAAGGCAGAAGACATGGCATAATGGAGGAAGACAAAGTGGAAACCTGTCCATAGGCAGAATACCTCATGATGATGAATTAAAGATAGAACACTTACTGCCCACAGGCATCTCATCAGTACAAAAAATATTTTCTTTATAAAACTGTGTGGGACTCTTTGGAATGCTTTTCCTAATATTTAATTAGGTTGTGTCTCCCAACACGCTCATTAACCATTAACCACTTGCAGTCCGGTCCCACACAAGAATTCCAGACAGAGCCTTCTCTTTTTGGCATCTCCTAATACAGTGCCCTTAGCAATTAACTTCAAATAATGAGTAACTTTTACTTGTTCAAGCATAAATAAATAAATAAACAAACAAAAATTATTAATAATAATTTAATTAAGAGGCTTGACCCCCAATAGCCATACAACTCAAATATACCTGGCAAATAAAAATTAATAGAAAACAACCATATTATAGAAAAGGACTCATTTTTAACATAAAAAGATCCATCCCTTAGGCCAAAACTAAAATAAATTAAAACAAAAATCATAATAAAGTATTCTATATACAAAATAGAACAATGGTTTTTCCAACATTCAAACAAATTCACCTTTGGGTATAATTAAAATAAAATTCAATAACAAAATTAAAACTTATGCGTATGTACATATAACTACAGGACTCATTATTTTTTCATACAATTTGTTCTTTGAACATGATAATAAAACAGTTCAACTTCTAGAAATAATACAAACATTACAAAATACCTTTCTTTAGAGAACAATTTAAAAAAATACCAAAAGGGAAAAAAATTTAAATAGTTTTCATAAATATAACCTTGTACTGAAGCTCTGAACTTCTACTATGTTTCAATGCTATCCAACTCAGGATCCTCTTAAACAATTAATTACAATATACAAATATGAATCCCACCCAAATTTCACATTGTTCCATTCACATACACAACAAAATAAAATATGAACATTCATTCCTTTTGATAAACTACACAGTTAAAGACAGATCAGAATTATCTTTACTTGTGGGCTAAAGATACCATTCATTACAACATACGCGGTTTTTCCTTCCAGATCTATCATGTAACTCACGACCCCTCTACTTCTTTATATTATACAAATGAAGGGATTTCACAGTTCACACGATTCAAATTACAGTTTTACCAAGAAAAATTAAGTACATAAGTATACTTGAAATGTATCATAAACCACAGTTCACACAACTGAGAAGAGTAAACCTATTCACCAAATAATATTTCCAAATCTTTTACAAAAATCAGTTCATTGACAACGGTCATTCTTAATTGCAGAGCTGAGGTCACTGAAATATGGATGAGTCATGGCATCTTCCGCAGGCATTCTCAAAGCAGGATTGCACACTAAGAGCCGCTGTAAGCAAACACAAACCATGAATTTCAATACACTTATCAACCAAATAAACCTATTTACTCTTCAAGCAAAACTGTAAGTAATTCATCTTTCCAACACTCTCAGTATAGAAGAATTCCAATTATCCACATCAATTTTAGGAGAATAAAGGAAGAAATTAATATCCAATTTGGGGAAAAAAATGTATACTATAACTTCAAGTTTGAACATGTTACAGTTCTCATGATATATCACGAGAAAAAATATATATACTTACTAATGTTATTACATAAAACCTTTTTTAATATACATGAATTAGAAATATTAGAATAATATGATAAAAACGAGTTAAATAAATGCAAAATGGGCAAACTTTCAATTTGTGGTTTCTTTATTATATACATTTTACAGTACTTTAGTTCATTTAATTGGATTATAAGTTAAAATTTCGTTTTTTCTCTGACTAAAGTCTTTTAACTTCATTTCTAAGCTTTATTAATTTCTTCCCAATTTCTGTATTTCTGAATTGACCATTTAATTTGGATAATGGTAATTCTTCTGTACTTGTATTACCAAGCTGGCTTAAGAATACACTGATTTCTCTGTACTGCATGCACATTGGCGATCTATTTATTGTTAATTACATTAAAATCAAATCTACAATCACAATGCTGCAGACCAAATTGGTTTACCCAAGAATACCTTCCCCTCCCAAACACAAGAAAGAATCTCTGACAATCCCACAACATTTCCAGGCAAAACCAAATTCCCTGACTTTTCCACAATTCCTCAACTTTTCCTGATTGTTGGTCGCCACTACAATCCAGACAATCAAGAAAAAACACGGCAAGTTAAAATTTATACAATGAAAATTCATACTTCGAATATTCATAGGAAGCATTTAAAATATTTATATTATGAATTTGCGATTGAAACACTACATCAAATTAAATGGTTTAAAGGTTTAAAGTCCTGGATCATCTCAAAACAATCGCACCTTTGATACTTGAGTGAGTGAGTGAGTGAGTGAGTGAGTGAGTGAGTGAGTGAGTGAGTGAGTGAGTGAGTGAGTGAGGGAGGAAGGAAGGAAGGAAGGAAGGAAGGAAGGAAGGAAGGAAGGAAGGAAGGAAGGAAGAATGGATCATGAGAGAGGAGAAAAGACAGTAAAAAGACTGACTGGAAGATAGGAGGTGTAAAATTAATAAAAAAGGCGCGAGTACATCTACAAATATTCAACAAATACCGTAACAAAATTTTCCCAAAATAAATAACAAAAGCTACAAAAATATAATCAGGAATTTAATTGGGCAAATAATTTTCCCTTACTTTTCCTGATTTTCCACAACATCAATTTTCCCAAACTGTATGGAAAGTGTGAAAAAAAAGCTATTGCTAACAAAATTAATTAAAGAGAAGAGTTGAGGGAACTAAATTCTTTAAAGAACTGATTTTTAATTTCTTTTCAAAAGTACGGAGAAAAGTTTGAAGAATTGCATAATCTCATAGACCTGTATCAATGGTTGCCAAAAACTGGAGGAGACCCACTGGAGTCGAAGGTGATTCCATAGAATTATTGTGATTTTTAATAATAATAATAATAATAATAATAATAATAATAATAACAATAATAATAATAATGATAATGTTCACAAGGGCACTCTCTATACTCTTTAATGTATTTAACAAATGCATAAGTTGCAATACAAGAAATAAGAAGGGTACACAACAAATGGTATGAATCCAACATCAGATTATTCACCAATCGAAACTTTAAAAAGCTATTTTTTCAGAACAGTATATTCGCATAAATGCCCTTATAACAAGCATATAACTTATAACAAGCCTCAATTAAGTCCATTTCTTAATTTTATTACTTTGAAAAAAGCTTTTTCCTCGACATATAAAAAAATTCCCTCATTTTCTTCTTACTTTTCCACTGAATAGTTAATTCAATGAATGTACTTAGCTTTCTAGGATTGCTGTCACCCTCAAAGTTGCTTAAAACGATACATTGAAACCGCAGTAACGAACAGACAAGACGTTTTGCCGTCACTCAATTTTTCGGCATCAAGGAACCACAGAACATAAATTCTGACTATACGTGTTAGAGGAAGTAATTTACCATATATGGGTGCAAGATTTATCAATTTTGACCAGAGCCCTGTAGTAATGTTTTAACTATCGGAAATTCTCCTTTTTTTCGAACATCACAATACTTTCTCTAGACTGCTTGCGCAGTAGTGACGAAGTAAAATTTATTCTTCACTACCGAGCGCACAAATTACTTCTCGAAACATTCCACACATCCATCGCGTTCGGCGCACGGTCAAGTGTTTTGCCTTGCAGTGGAGATTGCCTTGACCAGGGACTCCATAATAGGCGGAATTCCGCCAATTGGACGAAAAAATTCGCTGACTCAAAAATGCATTTCGCGAAAAAACGCATTTCGCGGGAAAATAGGTCTAAAATTGTCTTTTCCTCCGCGGACACCCTGTGTATGTGTGTGTGTGCATAATATATATTATATATAATTGTAACGTTTCTCCGTGGTGAATTAAAAAAACTGTTAAAAATTCTACACTAAAAATACTACATTTATTTACAGACATATTACAGAGTCCTCGTGTTCTTCACTTGATTACTTTCCATACACACGACTCTGTTCTCTTGATTATTTATTTACACCGTTCACTTCTCCTGATTATTTATTTACACTATGCACTGCAATCCAATTATTTACTTACATTGTTCACTGCAATCCGACTATTTATTAACAATGTTCAATTCTTCGACACTATCGCGCAGTCCGATGCACTGTCCACGGTCCACTGCGCTGCCCACAATTCACAGCGCAGTTCAGAGTCCACTGCACCGCAATGCACACTTCACAGCTCAGCTTCCACTTCAGACAGACTACTGCATACTCCAACTGACGGATTGACTGCTTACTACTTCTACTACTTACTGACGTGCGGCTGCATACTTCCGGCTGACTAACTACTACTTGCGGCCGCCGTCAGCGGCGGATTTATACCCTGCCAGCGCTCGCCTCAAGCCACCGGGAACGCGCCCCACACCTCTACGCGACTCTCGAATAATCCGGAACCGACCAATTCGGGGGAAGGGGGGCTCCGGTAGATGTCGCAATCCGCGCAGCGGACCCCAGCAGATGATGCAATATTCGTTACAATATATATATATATATATATATATATATATATATATATATATATATATACACAGTAACGTATAACGAGAGAGTAACAAAATGCAATATATTACATTATACAGTGCGATTACTTTATTAGTATGCCGCCATCGTGAGAAATTGCACGCCCAACGGACCGTCTGTATTCGGTGAACGGTGCACTTAACTCTCTTGGAAACGTTGATAGTTTGACATTTTTCTGACGACACATTAATAGCCAAAATAACAAGTATTATAGTACAGAAAACCCACACATTGTCCACCAACGTCCGCTAAACGATGTAAAAGTCGATGCTAAGGGAATGAGCCCTAATTTTTCACGGAAACGAGAAACGCAAACCGTTATGCGCATCATATCCTGTAGCTTTCTAAATGTTGACAAATGAGCGTAATTACGGTCATCTTCAACAGGACTCCGCACACGCTGCTAGTTTACTTAAGGTCTGTAGATGCCGTTTATGGAGACATTTATCACACATGGTTTGTGGTCTGCACGTTCACCTTATCTGACTGCGATTTCATTCTGTGGTATTTCTAAAAGATCGAATATATGCGAAAAATCTCCCCCCAAGGAAGAAGAGTGAGAGGTTTATAGGGCGCTTCAACTACTGAGGTCACTGGCGCCCATGGCAAAGTATTTACACTTTTAAACTGAAAGGGGGAAGTTGCAAAAGCAACTTACCCGCTGATTAAAAGCATGTACATTGCCTACAAAATTGCTTAATTCTGCATAAAATACAAGTACACAACAAAAGGTCAGGGCAATGAAACGAACAAAGATATTTATAATAAAGTAGAGCTGACTATAAAGGGGCCAAGAAACACACACACACACACACACACAAAACAATTATCCTTATCTTTGAAATAAAAATTATATATTGCGCTTTCTTAAAATAAAAACAAAAAAGGCTTTGAGAGCGCGGAATCGTACCGCTAAGCATCTCCCGCTAGGAGTTGCCCAGGCCATGACTTTGTCGACTGCCGTCGTATTTCGTACAGTGCAGCACGACAGAAAGAACCGTCCAGCATGAAACGCAGATAGGGGGAGATTCACATCAAAGAAGAAAACCATGAGAAAAGTGGTAGTGTCCGATTCGAAGATGGGTTAAAATGACTTCCACGTGCCTAAATGGTCGGAATGAGAAACGCCAGGGTTTAAGAGAATCCGTTATCATACTTGGTTTAAAAGTAGTGTTGTGCCACTCTGTTTACCACGCTGTAAAGATGGATCGTTTCAAAAAAGCATTAACATCGGACTATGGTACAGAAGGAATGTCAGAACGAGTCTTCCGCGTCGGTGAATTCGCTGCATGGGCCGCCAGCTCATTCCATGTGATTACCACATGACCTGGGTACTGAGTACTGAATCATAGTGGCGAGACAGGAGACGATGAATCAGGTTTTGAACTGATTTCATTAGGTATTCTGAGGAAGAACAGGAAACAGCTTGGAGAGCTGAGAGAATCAGAACAGAACTCGCCGCAGCGTCGCTGACTCCATGTACTTTAGAGCTTCGAGGATACATATACACTGCACTGGGAGTAGAGACGATATGACTTGGTGATCCGCAAAAGATTTCGCAATTGAATACCTGGGGGCTAAGGTAGCAATGTTTGAAGAGTATATGAGGTCTCATTATTCAGGATGAATAATTATTTGGCAACAAGTCCTGGCACTTTAGCACCATAAGACGCTAATAGAACATACCGCCTTCTTTTTAAAGATAGCTCTCCAGCCTCAGCTAGAAAGAACTTGATTCGGCTGGTGCGATACGAACCAGTTGATAGGCGGAAATCAGCATCGTGTATGC